ACAGCATGGATGAGAGAGGACTTCTCGAACCCTCACCCCTCACTGAAGAACTATTGGTAGTTGATGGCTGCAGAAGGAGGGTGTGGCCACCAGTAGGTTTCCTGTGCACCAGTGGATGTCCCCACAGCCAGACACATGTGGGCAGCACCACTTGGACTCAGTGGGTTATTAAAAAAGAAGAGGTCATGAAGTTTGAGGAAGAAATGTTATAAGGGATAGAGAAGAGATCGAATGGAGGAAATGGTGGGGTGGATATGACAATATCTCATTGTATACATGTAGGAAATTCTATAAGAATGCATAAAAATAATTTAAAAGGGGGAAAATACTATTATCATCTCCTTCAAAAACATTCTCAAAAATCGAGGCTATTGTTTAAATTTGCATCTCTTGTTATTTATTGTAAATGTGGTTGATGTGGTAGCTGGATGGCTTCCTGCTTTAGCCACTGGTACTTTTGTTCTGTGATGACTCCAGCAACATTAACTTGAGTAATCAAAGCTTCTGCATGGCTGATCCACCTCTGACCTCTGATCTCACCATTAACCTTCTGTTTTTGCAACTTCTCTTTCTACTTCCAGCACCGAGTGGATTTTCTTCAGCTGATGATGAATGCTCATAACAATTGCAAAGACAAAGAGTCTCATAAAGGTAAACAAGGACTCTCAGGACTATGGACAAGGAAGCTCTCAAGCAGTGGTCAGGCCACTCAGAAGATGTATGGGAAGGTTTTCTAGCAGAAGAATACCTCTGTGGAGTTAATCAAAGAAGGACAAGCGTATTGTTTCCAGGGAATTTTCTAGAAGCACAGGGGCACAAGTGTGTTCCAAGCATGAAAGTTAGCCACGATGGAATCTTCAGTGGTCTCTGTGTGTTACCTAGGTCTTTCCCAGCACACTGACTGGGAACTCTGCCTAGACATCTGACTCCAAACATCCAGTCAGGAGGCATGTACCCAAATGGTGCTGGTGTTTTCTTAGAGCCCCTGCTGTACATGTGTTCTCTACCTTAATCTGTGCTAAAGATTTACTTTTCTTTGTGTGATGAATAAGTGACATCTGAGGAAAGCCTCTTTGTACACACAAAAATCACTTATACATTTTTATCTTCTTCAGGTAGCATATGCATGTGTGTGCACATGTGTATACCCCATGCCTGTGTGAATGCCAGAGGAAGGCACCAAGGGTCTTCTTCAACCACTCTCTCTCCACACAGTGTCTCTTATTAGACCTGGAGGTGGTTGGCAGTCAGAAGGTGCCAGTAATCCACAGAGTTAGTGTTACAAGTGTGTGTTAGCACACTTGGATTTTTACATGGCGGCTGAGGCTTCAAACTCAGGTCTTCATGCTTATGCAGCACATGTTCTTATCCATTGAGATATCTCTAGAGCCTCACAGCTATGATTATATTTTAATTTAAAACCATTATTACTATCATGGTTGCCAATTTTCAGACTTTAATCTACATGTGTGCATTAGTAGCTAATGTAAAGGGATTTTTCCGTCCTTATATATTTGCTTATTTCTAGTACATACAATTGCTTATATAAAACAATATGATCTTCTAGGTCCCAATATTTGCTTTTTAAAGTTATCATATATTTTGTGTTTCAAATTCTCTCTGGTTGTCCACTTGAAACCCTTTCATGTGATCAGCTAACTTCAAATTCTTGTATACCTCCTCATCCCTTTGAGGTTGGATCTCATATAGCCCAGGTTGACCTCACATTCATGTAGTGTCTAACAATTACCTTTTAATATCTATGCTTCCATGCCTAGTTTATACGGTCCTGGGGATTAAACCCATGGTGTCAAGCATGCTAGGCAATCTCTCCACCTACTGAGCTTAATGTCCTTAGCCCTTCTCTGTCAATTTTAATTGCTAAATAGATTTTAATTTTGAAAATGCCCACTGCTTGTGGGTTTATACTCCAGTTTCAATTTAGTAGCAAGCACTTAAACTAATTTGAAGAAAATAATTGCCAACAACAGAATCACAACACTCATGGAACATGTTTACAACTCCCTGTAACTGTAGCTCTATGGGCACAAATGCCATCTGTGCCCTCCGTGGGCATGTGTACACATGCGCGAGCACACACACATAAAAGAAATTTAAGCTCTAGCAAAGAACTGGAGTTCAGTTGCCAGAACTACCTCTGAAAGCTCAAAAGTTTCTAAATCTCCATGTCTAGGCGATCAGATGCCTTCCTCTGGACTCCATGGGCAACACACACACACACACACACACACACACACACACACACACACACGGGACCCCTCTAGTCACACACAAGTACACAAAAATAAAAATAAAAGCAAATCTTAAAACAGAATAAATTATATGTCTTGAAGTTGCCCACTGAGGTTGATGAGGACCAGAGCATAAACCAGGGGACATCCTGGCTGAAGCAATCTTCCCCTTCTCTGGCTGTGTTCCATGGATGTAAGAGTGATAACAGTCCCAGGGTGACTGAACAGCTACTCCATATTTATCTCTAGGGAAACAGGAGCCTCATTTGATTGTCTCCTCATCTCTTCTGTGACGATCCACTCTGACCTGACTTTCCTGAAATATTTTCTTACTTTCAGCTCTATCTGACATGGAGATTACAGCCCAGTCAATTATCTTTATTGTGGGTGGCTATGAATCCACCAGCAGCACGATTTCCTTCGCCCTGTATTTACTGGCCACTCACCCTGATATCCAGAAGACACTGCAGGAGGAGATTGATGAGACTCTGCCCAATAAGGTGAAGGGATGGTGCTTGGAGGAAGAGGGAAAAGGAGACACTGATCACCCTTAGTGGTGTGTGTGTGTGTGTGTGTGTGTGTGTGTGTGTGTGTGTGTGTGTGTGTATCATAGACCTACAGTAGGTATTTTTCTAAATCACTCTCCACTATGTTTTAAGACAGGCTTTCTCACAGAACCTCAAGCACATCAATTTTTTAGGCATTCTCCGCAATGATCACCAGGCAGTCCTGTACAAGGTGTCCCCCATCCCAATGCTGGGATTATAGATGTTTGCCACTGTGCCTGACTTTATGAATGATGTGTATCTGACTCAGGCTTGCGTAGTAGACACTTCACAATTTGAGACATCTTTAAGCCCCAAGTAATAGTTATTCTAACCACTTTGTAAAGGGCTAGATAGATGGCTCAATGGTTAAGAGCACTGGCTTCTCTTTCAGAAGATCCATCCAGGTTTGATTCCCAACCCCAAATGGTAGTTCTCAGTCATCTGTAATTCCAGTTGCAAGGGATGTGAAACCCCCCTGTGACTTCTGTAGGTACTGCACTCATGTGATGCTCAAAACACATATGTGGGCAAAACATAAACACATAAAATAAAATAATTTAAAGCCCTTATAAAATGTATTGTAAGTGCATAGGACCTTTTCAATGCTGAATTGAGATTTGGAGCTACTGAAAACTCAACAGTACAATTCAGACCTATTAAAAGTTAATGCAAAATCCCAGCACAAATCTTTTTCTTTCTTCCCAGGAGTCTCCCACCTATGATAAAGTGATGGAAATGGAGTACCTCGACATGGTGTTGAGTGAAACCCTCAGATTATACCCAATTACTAACAGAATTTTTCGGACTGGTAAACAAGATGATAAAATTGGTGGTGTGTTTATTCCCAAAGGGTCCTTAGTGATGGTACCAATTTATGCTCTTCACCATGACCCAGAGTACTGGCCAGAGCCTGAGGAATTCCACCCTGAAAGGTACCAGATTCCCCAGAGTGTGAACCCACCCTGAACATGTTTGCCTGTATATGCTATGATGTCTCTTATGGGAAGATGATCTAAATGTGATTTTGCATCCATTTGCATTCTTTGATGAGAATGGCAGAGAAAAGGAAGGAAACAGAGGAGAGGGGATGAGAGACAGGGAAGAAAATATGAGAATTTAAATACAGAGTGTTTTTCTTCCTTTACCTCAAGTAGCAAATGACCAACTTAAGTGTGAGGCAGGACCCATTTTACTTCAGTCTAACTGGCACATGCTTTTCAGAGATGAACCCAGCATTATCCTGAATGGACTTTTAGAGTTTAGAGATCTATCCCATTTTTTCTCACATTACCCTGTCTCTTCTCAATCCTACAATGTTGATTCCCTAATTGTCCTCATCAAGTCTTCCTCCTGTTTTCAAATCTTCTATTTTCTTGTGGCTCATGAGTTTAATTAGGGTTGCTTGCATAAGTGTAGTAGGTAAAGAGTTATTTACTGGAGAATGAACAACTCACCAATAGCTACATCATGGAAGACAAACTACCCCCTACTCCAAAAATGATTGTCAATAGCTCTTCAGGGAGGTAGCACCTCATGATCTCCCTCCCCCATCCATGACACAGGGTATCAACATGGTTAATGTCTTGTGTAAGCAACCAGAGCTTCTGGGAGTGTGTGAGTACAATGGCTGTGTCCTGTCCAGGTCATAGTGTTTCACAGCACCCTTTCATTCCCTTGCTCTTACGTTATCTGCCCCCTCTTCTGAGATGTTCTCTGAACCTTGTTGGGAATGATATTGATGTCCCATTAAGTGCTGAGCACTCCTCCATCACTGTTTTTCAGCAATTTGATCAGTTATGAGTCTCAGCGTTAACTGTCTCCCTCAGCAATCAAAAGTTCTCTGATCAAGGCTGAGAGCAGCACTAATTTTTGTATGTAAACATAAGTATTTGGCAGACAGTTTGATATGATGTTTACTTAGCAAAACAACAGTAGTATATTCGCCATAGAGCCTATGACCTCCATAGCCATTAGATTTTGACCAGATTTGCAGTACCAGGCATTAATTCCCTTTGTAAATTGGAACTGCAATCTAACCAGACAGTGGTTGGTTACCCCTATCCCATAACACCATAATTACACTAGGGAACACAGAGGATAAATAGTCTGTCAAACAGCAGTTGCCTTACCTACCATCTGGAAACTCTTACAAGGCAAGGGAGATGGAAAGGACCTTTAGTGTACAATTTCTTACAGCCAAATACCTGGATGCTGAAGTTCAATGATCCTTTCCCAAAGTACCTGTATGTTACTATTTAGATGTCTAAAGGCAAACACATGTATGTAGCTCTTATGTTTCCACCCTTTGTTGACTTATCATTATTCTGTGTCTCCAGGTTCAGCAAGGAGAACAAGGGCAACATCAATCCTTATGTATACCTGCCCTTTGGTAACGGACCCAGGAACTGCCTTGGCATGAAGTTTGCTCTCATGAACTTGAAACTTGCTCTCACTAAAGTGCTGCAGAACTTCTCCTTCCAGCCTTGTAAAGAAACACAGGTGAGGGGAAAACTATCTCTGTAAATGATTTTTTATGGGAGACAGTTTTTTTTCAACTGAAGGTTCTGTGTATAAAAACAAATCTGTGTGTTTGATGTTTGCTAATTTGTTTTATGACCAAATGAGTTATTTGTATCCAGGCAAGAGCTGAGTTGCTTTTGGTTCTGGGTCAATATAGAGCACAAGTGTAGCATGGTGAAGAGTTAGTGTAGGCCAGTATGACAGGATTACATGCATTGCATTTGAAGTTCCAGTCATGTCCACTGGAGATTAGATTTGTCACATGACATCAAGAGGTGCAGTGATCATGTCTTCATGTTTCTTGAGTGGTGTACTCTTCTTCAGGAACTCACAGAAGCTCTCCTCTGACAGTCTTGTCAACCACTGGCTATACAGTAACAACCCATATATGGGGTCAGAGATGTTTGTCTGTTGGAAAAGTACTTACCTAGCATGCAAAAAGCTCTGGTTCCAATCCTCAGGACAGCATGAAGTAGCAGTGATGATGCATACCTGGAATCCCTGCACTCAGTGGGTGGAGGCAAGAGGGTCAGAAATTCAAGTCATCCATGACCACTTAGTGAATTTTGAAGCCAGCATGGCCTACATGACATCCTGTATAAAAAAACAAAGGTACAAATTCATGATGCCTTATCCTTTCTGAAATCCTAAAATAATTTACCCAGAGTGTGGCTTTAAAAGATCATCTCTGACTTCCCATGTGATGCTAAGTTGAGTATCATTATTTTAAAACACAATTGCTGGGACTCAAGAGATGGCTCAGTGGTTAAGAGAACTAGCTGCTCTTACAAAGAACCTGAATTCAGTTCCCAACACTCACATGGTGACTCACAACCATTTGTACCTCCAGTTCCAGGGCCAATGATGTCCTTCTCTGACGTCTGTTGAGACCTCATACATGTGGTATATACACATGTGTAGGAATCACACTCCTATACATAAAATAAAATAAAAATCTTGAAAAGATTGCTAGATAGGATGAACATCAAACTTATGAGGCATCTTGATGGTTCTGCCTCACTTCTCAGGAGCTCTGCTCCAGAAAAGAGATAGCTGTCATATTTCCATAAATCATATATCCTCTCCTTCATATTCTGTTCTTATACTTCAAGTTCTTGTTCATTCCCCAATGAATCTTCCTCTTCGGTTTATTTCCTCATTTCTTTATACTCTACTTTGGGCTACTGGAGGTTGTTTTTCTATCACCTGTGCCAATACTTTGTAATTAATGCCTCCAGCTTAGTTGTGTTTTTTTCTCTCAGTATTGAAGGATATCCCTGTCTTTTCTATATCACCTCATATTAATCTTTACACAATCTCCAAAACATTTTTTTGTGAAGAGTTTCTGCATTGAAAGCCATTGGTCAATGTTTTGAAGCATACCTTTTAATTCTAATATTCTTCCATAAAAATACTGAGCTAATTTAAAAATTAATAGATAACACTTATGTATATACTTTATGCACATCTTTTTATGCATTCAAGGAAAACACATATATACTACTTAAATTTTAAAAGAAGTACATGGTACATTGGGAGAAAGCATTTCCATTTTCCTGAACAATTTGTTCTTGTTTCATGCAAAGGGATGGGTAAAATTTATGGGATGTATATATTTAGAATGTGTCTTCTCTGTGACAATTAGTTTTATGTCTGGATGAATAGAGGGTGACAGTGTTTATTCTGTGATTTCTGATTTAAGGCAGTTGTATGGCTTTACCTACACACAGCCTCATTTATGTTAGTACTTTAGTATGAAAGCATTTAAATCATAAGCATGGATAAGGTTTTGATAGACAAAGAAAAGTTCCTATTTTGAGAGCCAAGGGCACACCTGTCATGTGACAGATGATCTGGCAAGTTCCACTCATTTTAAATTTGACAATTCTCTATCTCCATATCAACTTTGATCCCCTCTTTCTCTTGTAACCAGAAGATTACTTGATTGGAGGCTTTCCTCCTCCATCACTGAGTAGCATGAGCCTAAAAAATCATTAAAAACACTGTAGGACTCAAAATTCTTCATTCAACCCATCTGTGAAAGCCAATAATAGATACTGGAAAAGCAAGCAAATATCTGTCTTCCTAAACACGACCTGAATGGGATCAACTGTACTGGTGACATATGATCTAGGAGCTGAGGGCTGTTCACAGAGGTGAAATTCACCCTCTCAGTGTTCAACTTGCAAGTTTCATCTAAACAAAAATTACTTTTCAGAACTTAAACAAAGTATTATCACATATTAACTAAGAATCAGGCTCAAATATGTTAAACTCACTGGGCTTAGTGGTGCATGCATTTAATACCAGCACTCAGGAGACAGGAGCAGTTGGGTCTCTGTGAGTTCAAGTCCAGTCTGGTCCACATAGTGAGTTGCAGAACAACCACAGCTACAGAGTGAGACCCTGTCTTGAAAAAGAAAAACAAAACAAAACAGAAATTAAATTCATCTGTTTTACTCTTAGCACAGAACAGAAATAACATAAACCAACATGACTTCATCTCAGGCCCTGTCTACAGTAGAGTCTCAGCAAATATTTTACCTTATCCAAATATGGAAGCATGCTTTCAACATCTAATCGACACAGCTTAGAGAATAACATAGTCAAAGCATATGACCTTAAATAAAGCTTATCTGTATCTGCAAAGCATCGTCATCCTGGAAGGTTTTTTACATTTCTTTAGGGGTTGTTGTTGGTTCACTCATTGATTCTCAATATTTTCTTCCACTGTTGCAGATACCAATGAAATTAGACAGACAACTACTTCTTCAACCAGCAAAACCCATTGTTCTGAAGGTTATACCACGGGATGCCATCGTAATTGGAGTGTGAATTTTCCCTCAAAGACTTCCACTGTGTTCTTCAAGAAGGTGATATGTAAGAACACTGGAATCTTTAATTTACTTCATAAATAAAACCCAGTTGAAAATGTGGCTTGACTGGCCTTGATCCATGGTTAAGGATCCAGTACATCCATTCACCTTTCTGAGTGTCAATACAGAGTACCATAGAATGTAAAGGAATTGACTAAATCAGTTGACAGAATAAGAAATTCACCTCCTCTGGTCCTCATGGGACCATGTTGATCCACATATGGTTGTCTCCATCAATTTCCTTTAAGTTCTTTTAAAAGTAAACATGTCTCTGTAATTTGATCAGTAAGTTTTTAACAAAAATGTAAACTATTGTAACAACTCTAATTGTAAAATTGGTATCCTGTATTTTAGCTCCAATATTCTACAATATCGTTACATTGAAAATATAAATTAATATCTCTTTTAAAAACCCAACAAAGTATATTTTTACATTCTGTGAGAGCTTCATACAATGTATTTTGATCATATTAATTCCTCTCCTCCAAATCCTCCCATATCTTTTCATAACATGAATCTTTTTTTTTAAAGATTTATTTATTTATTATGTATACAGTATTCTGCCTGCACATATGACTATAGGCCAGAAAAGGGCACCAGATCACATTCTAGATGGTTGTGAGCCACCATGTGGTTGCTGGGAATTGAGCTCAGGACCTCTGGAAGAACAGCCAGTGCTCTTAACCGCTGAGCCATCTCTCCAGCCCCCTCATAACATGAATCTTAATAGGTCTTATTAATAAAAAACCTGGAGGCAGAAATTGGAGTGAAAAACTGAGGGGGCAGAGAAAAGCCAGCCACATACTTACCTAGTTGGAGATCCTCCACCAAAGAGACCTACTTCCTCTATACCCACACCTATATGCCTTTCTATCCTGCCATCTCATTTCCTCTCCACTCAGCTACATCACTTCCTGTCTCTATGTACAGACCCCCAGACATTTATGGTTAGTTTTGGGAATTTAAGGTGTGTGCCACCATCCCTGTCTCTGTTCTTAGAATAGTCTTGAACTCATAGAGATCCAGTCTGATCTGTGCCTCCTGAGGGATAGGATTAAAGGTGTGGGCTACCACTGCCTGACCTCTATGTTTACTTTGGTGGTTGGCATTTTCCTCTGATCCTCAGATAATCTTTATTAGGAGATACAGATAAAATATCAACACATGAGAAAAGCCAAGGTTTGGGGCTAGCAAGGGAGCTCTCAGGCACTATTAAAACAGACCCGAGACAGGCCCAGCGGTGGCCTGCAGAGGTAGACAGGCCCAGTGACGGTGGCCTACAGGGACATTCAGGCCCAGCAGCAGCCAGCAGAGACATACAGGCCCAGTGGCGGCCCACAGAGGTAGACAGGCCCAGCGGCAGAGATAAGCAGACACAGGTAGGCCTGCAAAGGCGGCCCACAGAGGTAGACGGGCCCAGCGGAGGCCTGCAGAAGTAGACGGGCCCGACGGCCGCCGACAGGGACATTCAGGCCTGGCAGTGGCCCACAGAAGTAGACCTGTGGCAGAGGCCCGCAGAGGTAGATGGGCCCGGTGGCGGCTGCCAACAGGAACATTCAGGCCCAGCAGCAGCCCACAGAGGTAGACAGGCCCGGCGGCAGAGACAAGCAGACATAGGTAGGTCTGCAGCGGCGGCCCACAGAGGTAGACGGGCCTGGCAGCAGTGACAAGCAGAGGTAAGTAGGCCCGGGGCGGCAGCTGGCAGAGACATACAGGTCCGGCGGCGAACCACAGAGGTAGACAGGCCCAGGGACGGAGACAAGCAGATGCAGCTTGGAACAGGGATGCCTCTAACCCCAACACCTGGGGAAGAAGCTATCTCCATGGGACAGAACCAGAACGAATCTGAACACTCCGTCTGAGGACAACCGGCCCAGCTGCTGATCCTGTGAAACCCAACAACTTGGAGGTGTTGGTGAGATTACCCCGCTCAGCTGAAACCCATCTGGGAAAAGATTCAGATACCTACAGTTTGAAGTCTGAAGAAACAAGATCAGCTGAGGAGTTGACAAATGAACAATACATGACCTGGGAACACAGAAGAAGGCGCTACCCAGCCACCAAACCAGATCACCAGAATCATAGTATATACTTCACTGACTGAAATCAGCTGCCCTTGAAGAAATAGCCCAATAGCACCAATTTAACCAAGAACCCCTA